ACTTCCGGTGATGTCAGGGGGTGTGGCATATGCTAATGAGTTATGCTAATGAGCTCCTGCACCTCTTTTTCTACGAAATGACCCCTGGGAATGATCAACAACAAACAGTACAGCACACAGCAAAAAATAGCAAGGGACAACAAGAAACAACTGTGAGCTGAATTGCCCGCAAAAGTAAATCCAAAAGGAGACTTCAACAAAGTGAAATGCACATGTAATCAGAAATGTATCTATACATATAACCATCATTGGAAAATACAGAAGAACCTGGTAGGGATCCCCCCACCCCAGACGTACTGTGGCCATAGTTAGGGTTTCTGCATAGGTCTCTGCACCATGCACCGTGTAAGCCGCTCAGAGCCCTTCGGGGGTGAGCGGGGTACAAATTGAAAGTATAAATAAAATAAATAGTTCTCAAACTTTAGCAACCCGAGGACCTCAGTTTTGAGACCACTACACATTCCCCTGCTCCCTTGGCCAGCAGAACCTTCCTTGAGAGTACCCGGCAAGGCACAGCTGCCCACGGAGGCCTCCGTCTTCTAATATCTTCAAAACAATACAGAGGTCCGTATTGGCTACAAATCAAGTTTCAGAAATAAAATGTCTGCCTTGTCCTTACGTGGCCTGCCAAGAGAGTAGCTGAGCAAAGGCCCTGTCCCAAGTTCTGCTCCACCTCTTGACTGGAAAAGACAGCAAGAAATTTTGTGAATGGTTAATAACGTCTAGACAGAGATGCTGGCTGAATTAAGTGCTCATGGCGACCCAGTAGGGAGCACCTTGTATGGAATACCCTCTCCATAGAAATCTGTGAGACACCTGTGGTGGCGGCGTTTCCTTACATTCTGCCATCTGGCTAACACTTCCTGATCCACCAACAGCAGTGTTCCAAATTGTGCTTCTTCCACTTTTTTAATCCAGTCATCTCATTGCTGTTTTATAGTGTCCAAGGGTTTATTTCTTTTACCTCCCATTTTAAACCCGATCCATCGTTTCAATGGTTTTTACTTGCATCGGACACATTTTTAATTGTTTTAAAGGGAGCCACATCAGAGAGGCTTTCTTACGAAGGAAAGCAGCATACAAAAATATATTTTTTCCACTACCCTCTCATTGTATCGCTTCCTTCTCATAATCATACCCTGTTGATTGATCTCCATTTCTGAGCCTTTGGGCCTTAACTGGTGGCGGCGTTTCCTTACATTCTGCCACCTGGTTAACATTTCCTGATCCACCAACAGCAGTGTTCCAATTGTGCTTCTTCCATTTTTTTTAATCCAGTCAACTCATTGCTGTTTTATAGTGTCCAAAAGTTTATTTCTTTTACCTCCCATTTTAAACCTGATCCATCGTTTCAATGGTTTTTACTTGCATGAGACACATTTTTAATTTTTTTAAAGGGAGCCACAGAGAGGCTTTCTTACGGAAGAAAGCAGCATACAAAAATATATTTTTTTCCCGCTACCCTCTCATTGTATCACTTCCTGCTAATAATCACGCCCTGTTGATTGATCTCCATTTCTGAGCCTTTGGGCCTTAACAGAATATTTCCTTTATGAAGATAATACACAGAACACCCGGGTCTTGAACCGCTGAACTACTGACCTTCCACAGCCTGCAGTTCAGTGTCTTAACCACTTGAGCCACCGCAGCTCAACCGTCTTAGCGAAAGGGAAAAAACACACACACGCGCCACAGCAAGCTTAAAAATGAGGAGGGGAGGCAAATGCCTCAAAGTGAGAAACTTCTAAAGCAATGGAGGTAAAAATAACGCTACTGGCCTCAGCTGGCAATAACTTCTCCCTGCCTTTAAGGATGCCAGCCTCCAGGTAAGGGCTGGAGTTCTCCTGGAATTATCACTGTTCTCCAGACGACAGAGATCACTTCTCCTGGAGAAAATGGCAGTGTTGGAGGGTGGACTCTATGGCAGCACATCTGAGCCACTTTGGTGTAGTGGTTAGGAGCGCAGACTCTAATCTGGGAGAACCGGGTTTGATTCCCCACTCCTCCGCATGCAGCTGCTGGTGTGACCTTGGGCCAGTCACAAGTTCTTTCAGAGCTGTTCTCTCAAGAGCAGTTCTCGAAAGAGCTCTCTCTTTCTGTTGTGGGGAGGGGAAGGGGAAGGAGATTGCAAGCCGCTCTGAGACTCCTTTGGGTAGTGAAGGGTGGGGTATAAATCCAATCTCCTCCTCCTCTTCCTCCCCAGGCTCTACCCCCGAATCTCCAGGAATTTCCCGACCTGAAGTTGAAACCCTATTTTGGATAGTAGTTCCAAATGCCAAGAATTCAGAAGGGAAGGGCAGCACATTTGCATCTGAAGTTTCTGCATGCAATTTTGGTAGCCCTGGGTTAGCAAAGCCCCATAATTGCCTCTCAAGAGGTGAAAAGGTCCTTTTCTGCGAACATAATGTGAGGTTTTAGGAACACTATAGCTCTCAGCTTATGTTTTCAGAGCTGGTGTTATTAGGTCCTTACCCAGACGCTGGTTGTAATGAGACAACTGGCCTAGGACTGGGGAGACTTGAGTTCAAATCTTCCCTCTGCCATGAACTTTACTGGGTGGCCTTGGGCCTTTTACCCTTCCACAGCATACCTCGCAGGGTTGTTGTGAGGATAAATATGAGGGACGGAGAACCACAAATGCTGCCTTGAGCTCCTTGTGATGAAGGGCAGGATAAATCGTGTAAGAGAGAAACAGGTGATGGCTTTCTCTTTAAATTATCATGTCATTGTGATATAACTACAGCTTTTGACAAAATATTAAAAAGATCCAGCCCTAGAAGAATCGGATGGTCTACATTTTAACAGTGTGGGGGGGGGGGGACAAAAAAACAGTGGCTGTTTTGGAAGGGGGACTCTGTGGCGTTCTACCCTGTGGAGGCCTTTTCCCTCCTCAAACATTCTCATCCCCCAGGCTCCAACCCCAGGTCTCCAGGAATTTCCCAATCCCAACCCAAATAACTCTTGCATTTACATGCTAATTTGCTGCCATCCATTGATCTTACCGGCCTGATCCAATTTCAGCTCTGCATGTGCATCTTGGCTCTGAGTGGCCCCTCTGAACGGCTGCCCCCCCCACTAGGGTTACCAAGTACCTATCTTCGAATTTGCGGGGGACACATGCTTCCCGGCCGGAACATCCCTCGGTGTAACACCCCCCCGCCACACCATGCTGTCGCCCAGACGTGATGCCAGCACGCTGGGCACGTAGCTGGGCGACGGCATGGTGCGGCGCGTTTGTTTTCAGGCGTGCCCTGAGAGAAGTGGTG